AAATAATACTGTTAATGTAGGGCTGCGCGGTATATGTGGTAGACGGTAGAAATGATATGAAGTTGGCCTACGGTAGAAATTTATACTCTACCGTCCTATCATCAGTTACATCATTGCACCTGTGTCAACAGGGTTGCGAGTGCAGAGACAACTGAGCTGGAGGAGTTCAAAATATAATAAAGAAATTCTAGCGTTTTAAAACGTATGTAGAGAGGATAAATCCTCAAAATGTCCTCCTCCCGCTGAAGAAAAGTTATGTCGTGTTGCGGGATCCTTTCCTCCCTCCCTCCCGCTGCACGTCACACAGAGCGAAGCTTTAACAACCTTAGTTTTTCCACACCCAATAATCAGAGAAAAAAAAAGTTTTTTTGTATTGTTACCTACAGAAATTACTGAGGTCATACAGCCCAGCCCTATGTTAATGACTTTTGTGAAGTAATATCTCCCCTGAAAAGACATGTTCCAACTGAAGGCATGCGATACAAAACGTATTACCATGGTCCCACAAACATACTACATCGGAAGACTAGACTGTCTCATTTCACAGCCATTTCATGCAGCCTGCATGGATGACCTACAGCCCACGTAGGTCACAATCAACGTGGGCTGCAGCCCCTGAATTGGGACAAAGCTGTCTACAGTGACTATAGGCAATCTTCAGAAAGATTACCCAGCTGAGACATACTTCAAGCTTTACAAAGTCAGAAGTAAGATGATTGGAACGTTTTCTTTTCTGATCTGTCAGGATCCAAACACAATAATAGTGTGGCTACAATTCAGGCAAACAAACTTACTCATGGTAACGACATCATCTTCCTACTGGACCAGTTTTTCTTCATCTTATTCAGAATAACTACAAACCCTCCCCTTTCAACCTCCTCTACTGAACAGATGAAGGCATTAAACATACTGCAAGACAGACATGAGTGGGTAATAAAGAAGGCCAGAATGGGCAGGGAGTCTAGAACATTTGTCCTAGCCATAACAGCTGCCCAGGTTAAGACAGCAGTGGACGTCAACGTGATCTGATGAGCAGGAAGGAAGGTGCCATGGTTAAACATGTGCCTGTGTCAAAAAGCATGGTTGTTTTTATATGGTTCCTTTGACATTTTAACCTGTTTGTCAAAAACTGCAAGAATTTAGGTTTGCTTCATAACGTTTCAGGTATAATAAAGTCATTTTTCTACGAGTTAGAATTCCTGTTGGAGAATTTCTGATCAGACATCAAAATGAGAAAAGCAGTTGAAGACACGATTAAGCCAACAACAAAAAAGAAATAATGAAGAGATAATTGGAAAAAAAACAACAACGAAGGGTTGGCGCATATGATTGGTTTCATAAAAAATGCCTAAGGCTGTGGCCTGCCCACCCTGTTTGCTGCTTTATAGCAGCTTTAACATGTGCGCATCCCTCCCAACTCCAGGTCCCCCCACCCCAGTCCCATTTGTGTAATTCAATTAGTCTGCTCCAGCGGGCCTTGATTGATTTGTTTAGGCGATCAACAAAATGGCTGGCCAAGTCTCACTCTTTCTTTCCCTCCCTCCTGCTCCTTTTGCGTCCCACTCAGGCCTGCTGGTGGCACACTGCTCTTTTCATCATTTTATCTCTCTTTTTCAGATCATGGTTCTCATTACGCCCTCATTTTTTTCCCCACTCATTCAAACAGTGCACACTAATGCTCACAACAGTCTAATTACAGCGCCAAATTAGCAACTTACTGAATCAGTGGATACATAAAAATAATAACCTTTGTCATAAACAAATTATACCTGCTTAAGGACCTGGACAGCTGCAGAGTTCTTTTTTACTGCTTCAGTTTTCTTGAAGGGGACATAGCATGCAAAATCTACTTATTTAGCCTATAAATGCATTTTGCAGAGTCTCTAGGAGTGCAGAAAAGTTTAAATTAATTTCTCCCGGTGCTGTGTAGATAGCTTTATATTCTGTTTGGTGTCACATTTTTCATCCCATTCTTCTCTTTTAACTACGACGTTTTCTGAATCATTACGTCACAGTATTTGCGACAGAACTGCCAAATAAGGTAGGAACTTGCCTACTATAATTTTGTTGTCTTCATCCTTCTCTGGCTCTGGGTCAGATGGCTCCAACGTGTAAGGCTAGATGGACAAGTCTTACGCTGTTGGCATCTTTTAATTCATTTTTAAATAAAACGTTTCTGCACCGCTATACAGTCGTAAACCCCTCTATCAAACTGGAATGGACCGGTCTGGAAGCTGGACTGAATCATTTAAATGTGAAAAAGAATGTGAAGAATGTCTCTTTTAAAAGAACATTTGCTACCAAAAAGATGTAAATATATAATGGCATACAAACTTTTTGTGATACTAAAATGAACCCTACTAGTCGGCAGCAAACAGTAAGCTACTGAGCCCTGGTGTTGCTGTAAGGTTGAGGTGAAAAAGTTTCRCTGTAAATCCTTGGTTTTGATAGCTGCATGACTGAAGACAGCCAGTGTCACTCCACAGCAGCTTCATGTGAACTCGCCACACTCTCTGTGTGTGTCGTCTCACTTCTTCATCAGCGTACTCACTGTCACTCTGGCAATGCTCGGTCACCACCCCAAGGTCATCTCGCTGTGACCGCACCAGCGTAGGGCTCAACATGTAATGCCGGTGTTGTCAGAGCCCATCTGTTGGCTTTTAACGCTCTTATGGAATCAGTAATGACAAAACTACGGAGTTTTACATTTACACCTGTCTCGCACCTCCAGGCAAGCACTTGCACAGCTCAAAATAACACTAAAATAAATGTTACTTTAACAATTTTAGAATCCCCTTTATTGTACTTCTACTATGCCCAAAAACAGATCCATATTCTCCTATCATGAAAGTCAGTATGGGCAGTAGGGTAATGTGTTAAGAAAAAACAGCCATAGGCAGCTTATGCAAAACAAAGTTCATAAGTAATGGTTGCTTTTGTTCAACATAATATGATTTATGAGCCTCTCCTAATCAAACAAAAAGGGGACAAGAGGAGGGTTTTTGCTACGTCTTTCGTGAGTAAGATTTTAAAGAATAAAAGGCTTAAAATTAGACTAAAAGCCCACGTTGTTCATACATGATTGACGATGGAGAACTCTAACATTATTCTAGTCAAAAAAATGAGTCACCTCCTTGGCTGTGGCAAACTGTAATTGGAAAACCAAAAAAACATTGATTCTGCCCGTTCGCATTTGACAAATCCCAGCAAAACTGAGATACACACTTACCTCCTTAGGATGTGGAACAAAAACATTGTACAACAAACAAACTGGATCACATGGGAGCATATGTTTGAGCAATACAACCCAATGACTATTTGCAAGCGAATAGTAAACTATTGAGGGGAAATAGGAAAATAAAAGAGAGAAAAAAAAATATTTGAGGAATGATTTGTTGCACTTCTTTAAAACTGTGTCATCGCCGTCTTTGCTTTACATATTTTTGTTCATTCTCGGGTATTATTAAAGCTGTCCTTTTTTTGTCAAATTGAATGGCGAATAATGAAACAAAAATGTTAATGTTGCCAATTTTTCAAAAGCTAGCCAGGGCACCCAGAATCCTCCTCTGCCTAACAGTACAGCAGAGTGGAGGGAATTCAATCAAATGCAATTTATGCCAGTTTCTGTCCTGACATCTTCAATTACGAGGGAGGCGCTTTAACATACATGACATGACTGGGGCTCTGGTGCAAGATCAAACAAGATGAGAACAAAAAAAGTTACTCGTTTTTTTTACAAGGGAAAATAAAACGGGTTTTTTTTCAACATTAAGGCCACCTTTACCAGGTCTCTAATTTACTGCTATACTTAGACATACCCAGAGGTGAGTAGAATACCCAAAAGTTGTACACAAGTTAGAGTAGAACTGCTTCCACATATTTTTCTAATCTAAATTAGCCATCCAAGCAATTACTAACTCAAAGTATATTGAAATTTTACTCAAGTAAGCGTAGCAATACTTTATATTACTCAAGGGGGAAAAAAAAACTACCCCTAAAAATATTTTTTTCCATGAAGTTACTCCAGTAAATGTACCTGAGTCAGTGTAATTAGTTACTACCTACCTCTGCATGTATCCTATTACCCCACAAAAAATATATATAACATACACACATATATTTAAAAAATAAGAGCCTTCATTCTGCTTTGCAACAAACTGGCAGCACAATTAGTGTTTTCCTGTGGTTTCATGACACCGACAATGTGAAAAAGACAGTGAAGCACAACACAGAACACAAACACAGAAGACCACCACATAAATGATGACATGAGGCAAGAGAACATGAWACACAAAACACTATTCTCACAAGCCTGGTACAGAAAACAGAGAAGACAAACACAGATGAAAWACAGATGCCAGTAGAATAAGAGCTTATTTTATTTTATTTATAGAATTAAAACCTATTATTACATGTTTAGTCACCTTAACTGAATTAGAGGTGGTTATGCCTGATTATGTAYTGGTTAAAAGATTTCTTTCTCCTGTTTTTTTTATTGTGGTGGTTAAACATCTTACCTCTTATTGGGGTATCCTCTGGAGGAGACACAAAAATGAAGACATATCGTCAGTTAAGTTTAAGATTAATGTTAGTAATAGTTAGAGAAGGTGTTTGGGTTGGAAGGTTCACTGAAATTAGGTTATGAAATCATTAGGTCGTTTATAACAGAGATGGGGACTTTTTTATTGAACCAGATAAAAACAAAACTAAAGAAAAAGAAGACTCTTGTTGCTGGTATCACCAAAAAATAGCAATGTTTTTGGGTATTTTCTTTGCATATAATACGAAGTGCAAAGCTTTGACAGAATATTAAAAAAACTTGTGGTCTTGGTTTTGCCTCATTCTTACAGTTCAAAGGTGATAAGAGAGGTTTGGTATTCTGAACTGACACAAGGCGCTACAATAACAGTTTTTTTTCCAAATTATGAAGAAGAGGTCAGTAAAAAAGCCAAAAAACATCTGTACTCTTCACTGAATAACTGAAGTGATGTGCTAATGCATAAAGGATTAAATCGCCATTGAACATAAGCTTCAGGTTCTACCTTAAGGCACATTAGAGCCTTCAAACTGAAGTTCTTTTTTTAATTGTGTAAGTCATAAACCTGTTAAACTGTGACAAACTTTTTACCTCAAGGTTCATCCCTACTCCCAAGTCATTCAATCCTGGGTCTTCCTATTGTTTCATTTCACTGAGAGATGTATGTTTCTCTGTTTGTTGTTTACTTTGAGTCTGTATATTGTTACATACTTGACTGCAAGCCAAACGCCCCATTAGGGACTGTAAAATATTGAGTTTATCCAGTTCTAGGCTGTTGGCCTTTTTAAATGCTGTCTGGACTGCTGCTATGAAAATGTATCCCTTAAAGCAGATCTCTGGGTTTGGTTAGAGGCACCAGCTTTGCCTTAGTTCCTCCAAATTCAAACTAAACWGTCTTTTTTAGTATTTTCTTTATTCTTTTATTTCATTTTACTTTCTTTTGGTTTATTTCTTTAGTGCATTTTTCTCTAACTCTAAATCTAACAATGTTTCAGGTTAAAACATTTGACMTAGTTTACCGCTCTTGATTGACAGCAGGACAACATTAACAAAGAAAAAGTACCATATTTGGTTTATGGCAAAGCTCAAGTCTAAAAGTAATTACTACTACAATACATGTTTGAATTTCTACCATTGCATGAGCACAATTTTGCTGTAAATCTACCTTCAATGCTTTGGATTCAAAGATATCCAAACAGTTTTTGTATTTTTCGCAGTAAAATAAGAAATGTGGGCACTTTCATGGAGGGATGCACCTTTCAAACACCTCAAGTCTGATTGTGATTAAATTCAGTAAACAGTATGTAAAGTTAACATTTGTGATACTAGCAACAAGAACGAACTGAATTTAAAGTTCTGCCTGGTTTGTAATGAACTTTTATTTTTACGTTAATCCCTTTTTAGTAGTTACATGCACTTAAGTTTAATAATTACACTAGGTCGTTTATGCACATTTATATAAAACATATGCAGATAAATTGTATTGTATTATATAAACTGAATATATACTGTATATATACTGACTTTACTGACACAATTACCTACTTTGGACAAAGTTGAAAGCAAGTGTTTRGATTTATTTTTTCTCCTTTACTTCAATTTTACTCTACTTTGTAAACCCACCTGAAAAGAGGCACGGATTATCCAGAGCAAGAWGAAAATATTTATATTAGCGCAAGCTAATGATCATTTAAAAACCAGGCAAAACTAAAGCAACATTTAAATAATTTCTGTAATGATAATACACATAATTAAAAAAAGGGGAAAATCACAAGGACAAGGGCAAGGGGAGGCGCTGGGAAAGTTACGTTGTTATAGTGTTAGAAATTGATTAGAGGCTGCAGGAAGCTGGGTTATTTTGCTTTAGCTACGATGAAATTTGTTGGGAGTTAAGAGGTTACTAGTTGTRGGTTAGAGGTTAGGTCAAAGTTAGGTTAAGGTTAGAGGGAAGTTAGGGTTAATAAAGCAGGTTGGGACAAAGGGGGGACTATTATACATCAAAAAGAGAACACACACAAAAAAGATAAAATGAAAATGAAAAATGYGTAATGAGATGATTTTGGGTTTAAGAGGTTAAACAGAAAGACTAAAATAAAGAGGATAAGAGGAAATTAAATACTGACTTTAATATTATTGAGAAACACATTAAAATGATATATCATATTTTTTTAAATAATGAAACAGCATGAAAAAAAAAACTAAAGGCCTACTGAGTGTGCAGGGACTAGCCGGTTTTCAATTACAGTGACAAATCCACCTGTATTAGGGGCATACAACCTAACAACCATAAGCTTCCCCTTCTAAGCTTTGATCATCCAGGAGTTGATCAGATTAGGATGAARATGACCTAAATATATTTTAACATATTGTTGTTTTCCCTTAAGTTATCAAATATTGTATTTTTGATTTAACTGTTTTCCATAAAATTCCCAGCTATTAAAAAAAATAAAAACATAAAAACACTGGATGTTTGAAAAAGATTAGAAGAGTATAAAATGGCCAGAGGCAGTTTGGACGGAGATGTTGCACCACTGCATGTGAGGCGAATAGGCTTGTGTGATTGGCTGAGCGTCAAAGTATGACCGTCGTCCAGAGGGCATCTGGCTGACCTTCTCTTTGCTCTAGACCCCCTAGGTTTCTGTTTATGCAGCAGCAGGGCTTAGKATAAAACAGGCCTATTGTTAGCACATCTGCAAAGGTTTCAGTCTCTGTGTCCAGATTGGCTGTGATGCCAAAATGTGACTATTTTCCTGTAGATTAAGAGAGATTGAATTTAACGTGAGCCACACACACGTGCATGAATCTGTAAATAAATTTTTGAAAAATCCATGCAAATGCAGATAATGATTTTAAAACCTTTATATTAAAAAAAGGGGACCCTAATCTTTGCTAATACAGGTCCTCATCCTCTCACTGTCACTGTCGCCTGTGGTGAATCACTCCGGTTGACAAGGCCAGCAAGGGCCTGGGGTCTGCAACCACGGGAACTATGGAGAAATGTCAGGCTACCTACACACCTCTAAAGGAGCCCCTCAGAGCCCCTCAGGGGACCCYGATGCAAATATCACTGCCCTGACAGCACAGCATGGTCTGGAACATAAGGAACCAGTCTGCCAGCTRGTCAGCCATCTTCAAAACAAAACTTAACTTATTCCAACCTGTTAGTGCCATGTTTTTTTTTGTTTGTTTTAAGTAAAAGTACATTGAAATTACATTTATCTCAGCATCAAAGAATAAAGGTCCTTTTTTTTACTACAGTGTCGTGATGGTTCAGTACAGACAGGGTTAGGGTTAGGGTTCATTAAAGTACACAAAGGATAGGTTAGTCACAAGTGATCACTTCTCCCTCCTAGAACTGGGCATACATATTGTTTAACTGCAAAAAAGTAGAGGAAGATACTATCTAAACACACTACAACRAATCTACAGCAGGTTCACACAGAAACGTGCAGACCTGCCTGTTTGAGTTGTGTGGAAAAACTCTATGATCACAGAGAAACAAAAGGTGCATGTTGGCAAGTAATCATGCCATTTAATTGGCACTTTAAAAAAACATTGWGGTGCACTATTTATGTAGTCATTCAATATACTCTGAATTAGAGCTGGGCGGTRTGACTCAAATTTTATATCATGGTATTTTCAACGATTACACCGGTTTCACGGTATTTGATGGTATTTTTTTTCCTCACAGCTCAGCTGATAATAAAATATACAAACTTTGCTTATTGACTTTTTTCTTTTACTGTACCTCTGTATCACTCCCTCTTGTACATCTTTTCTTCTTTGCTTGGTTGTAGACAGTAATCATGCATTTTGGTTCGATCATGAAGGGCTGAGAAAAAATCATTATCTGGTCTATCGTTGCGTGTTAATAAAACTTAAATGGATGACTCACCTTGCACACCAGTCAACTCAGCTACACTACAAAACTACTTCCCCCGRGCTTTTCACAATAGAAGCATGCTGGAGTCTCCATGCAATAACATCTCCATTATAATGCAGCGCGTTAAATCTAACCGTGCACATCACTGAAGAGTTGTTTACTACATTCAGCAATGGTGAAAATGGGATGTTTTTTTTTTTTTTACATCAGACCATATAAGCGGCTGAAACACCACCCGCTGCCAGTTGTTCCAAAAATAATGTTAGCATGCTAATGCGCTTAGCGGTGCTGCGAGGAAACGTGTCCCCCRGGAAACAGTTCACTGGCGGCCACGACGAAACGTTCCGAACGTGTTCAGGCTATTTACACCGGTATTCAGAAAATTCACATCATAACAAAAATAAAAAMCGGTTTTCGGTACAAAACGGTATACCGCCCAGCACTACTCTGAATTTAAACAAACATATTCCCACAATTAGATAGCTGAGAAGCTAGTAAGTATTTTCCATTTAAWTTATTTTATATTTTAACATTGGGAGATTTTTTTGCTGTACCAAACCCTTACCAAACCATGACCCTTATATTGAGATTTATACTGAACCATGACCTGGGTGTAATGTTAACACCCTAATAAGAAGTAAGAACTGAAACTATGAAAATCTAGTTCCTATTTTGCAAATAACAGTTTGAAATCTTGTGTTTTGGAAAGTGTTTGAAAAAGTCAGAAGGACAAGGCATTGTGGACTGAACTTGGGTGGGTGGAAGAAAAAAAAAAAACAAAAAAAAAACCAAAGAGTTACAAAACACTACTTGGTATGCCAAAGAACTACAGTATATCTCACCATAGACCCTGACACACTGTGTGCTGCAAATGCACTGGAATTATTGTCTTGGATTCAAACAGAGCCCAATTATTTCTTCAAAGCCTGCCATCTTGCTACAGAGTAGCCGAAAGCAGACATCACAGGGCAGTGACGGAGTAAAATCTGAATAACACGATCAGGGAAAAAAAGTAAATAAGTGAACTTTAAATCTCAAAGTAATAGAGAAACTCCTATGACTGTAAAAGACAACTAAACTGTGTTGACCTTATATGTAAACTCACTTTAACATGAAAGATAATACCTCAAAGGACTTGCTGAACAACTCCACATAAATAAATAAAAAACTGTGCTGCTAAAGGAGGGCCATGCTGCCTTTTTACACTCATGTACCACCTCTCTTCACTTTGAGTTTCAGAGTGGCAGGGTGGAAGAAAATAAAGCTGACATTAAAAAAAAGTTTGGTTTAAACTTAAAGTAAAGGTTAAACATAAAAATGGAGACCAAGGGGAGCAAATGGAAGAAGAGGGAAAGGTTAGGGATGTGGGGGGGCAAAAGGTTCATGCATTTTGGTGGGTAGTTAGAATATGGCATCTGCTTCAAGGAGAGTGGATTGGCTTTATGAGCTTTGCATGGCACTTACCAAAGGCTTCTGAAAATCACAAAGCAAGAAGAAGTAATTAGGAAAGAAGTAAGAACATGGTTCATTTWAGGTCTGGGTTATCAAAGATTTTTACGAGCTACTCTCCAGTTTGCATCATTTCAGTTTAGAAAATGTTTAAATGCATTTTATTGCTAAATTTTGGTTTATAGTTTGTCATACGTAAATTTGGTTCTCATTTATGTTGTGCAAATACAAAAGCTTGAAGGCTCTGTGATGTGCACTGAGACACATCAGATATTCAGACACAAACACAGACAAAACTGACAGAGAAAAATATCACTTGAGAAAATGCAAAGACAGTTGAAGCTTTTACAAAACATATGATAGAGAGGTTAGACAGGACAGGCAGCTGATCTTCACATGAAACACATTCAGTTTAGTCAGACAGTAAATTGCCCTTTAAGTAACCACAAAACAAGTTAATCAAATTACCGATGGAGAAAATAAAGGTACCTGGAAACAATCACAGAAAAGCTTAACATTTTTAAAGAATCATCTATAGGTTTTAACAGTTTTTCATTATTGCAGCACAGCGACACGTAYCTGCAAACCTAAATGTTTGAAAGAAAAAAAAGGGAAGGGACAATTTTAAAAAAGGACTAACAATAATGATTAGGAAGCATGTTGTCTGATTTGTGCACTATTGGGCTATGTTTAATGCATCAACAAAGTATTTCTAAAAACAWAAAATGAAGAGTTATCTCACTGTTTGATCAGGCATCAACAACGATATGTTAAATAGATTTTTTTCTAAGTAAAAACCTTTGAGGGCCTTAATTAGGGCAGAAACTCAGCGGCAGCAGAGTCTTTATTTAGTGGTGTCCACGCTGATTTACATTTGCTGCAGCAAATCAAATGTGAGCCATCAGATTTTCTGTATGGTGACAAATCATCGACTTAAATGATCTACTCTTATTGCCCAGAGCCACTGCAGGGCCTGCACTTTATTAGCAATATAATTAGACTTGGCTTTACTGGGGCTCTCTGCAGGCTTTAATCAATGGGAACAAGACAACATATCTACATCTGACTCCTGTCACTAGAATGTGGATCTTAGTCATCTCGTCTACTAATTCAGTGAATGGTTGTGGCAAATCATTGAACCACATTCTATAGTTACATTAATCCCCCCCCCCTCCATTTGAATGTGTACCAACATTCGCAATAGCCTTAAATTGGGAGTTTATTTTATTTCTTACACTCCATATCTSCACTCACAAACAGTCACTTGTTGACCCCCATTGTTGTGATTTTTTTACTATAACATCATCATAAACCTCAGCTGAAGTCATTCTTAAGATCGCTGATCTACTGCAGAAACCTTTTCAAGTGGGATGCGTTACATCAAACCCAACAGACAAAAGGTGATTTTACTCTCAACAGTTTCATTTCTGCACTCTACAAAATTAAATGTTGAATTTACTTAACCGAGTTATGTCAACTGGTTCCAWTCAACTGAGTTAAGTAAATTCAAAGCAATTTACTTATTTTCAACAATTCAACATTCATTTTTTAGAGTGTGTATTGACTGCACTAACGTGCTCTTTTTCTAACAGTTACACTGTATATGATACCAAATAGAAAATATAAAGCTATCGCTAAGTTATTAATTTGTAATATAAAATCTGCGACATTGGATCTAAAAGGGTTGGAGAAAATGGARAAGCAGAAAAATTAAACATGAGCTTTTCTTACCTGATCGTAGCTGTTTAATCCGCCCATTACTTGCACTGGGATCTATGGGCAGAAAGTCTTTGTACCAAGTGATTTCTGGGTCAGGGTTGCCACTGGCAGCACAGAGCATGGTGGCTGTCCGGGTGCGCTCCACCACTTTGAGTTGAGGTCCCATGTCGATGTTAGGGAAGCCTGGTGGGAGAAGGTCCTCTGCAAAAAAAAAAAAAAAAAAAAAAAAAAAGATACATTTGAGTTATTATGGCAGTATAATACTCTGGTTTCTGAATTTTAGACACRTTTTTGTGTTTTGGGATTGAAAAAACCTAAGCATGAAGAATTGCAGCTCATCTCTCAGGATACAAGCAATATATAACTGAAAAATATGCAAATAGTAAAAGCTAAATACTGTAGTTGGATAAGAGAACACCTTAATAAACTGAGTAATGATCAATAAAATATGGAAATAAATTTGTAAATACAATGCACAAACCGGAAAATGGGTTTTGTCTTTTCACTCTTTCTCTCCATGCATCAGAAAATTACTAGAATGTCTGAATTAAGAAGTGAATTTGCTCTATAATAATATCTTCTAATAAATATAATCATTTTTCCCATGGTCATTTAGAAATATATATATTTTCTCAATCATGTTTCAAGGTTTAAAGCAGCTTTATATTAAATTATACAGTATCTRCATTAGCATTTCATCAACCTGAGTACACAGTTTAGTTTTCGATTAATTTGCTTCTTCGGTTAAATACGCTGCATGTACAGAAGTTCATAGTAAGAAAAAAAAGACACCTAATCATGAACAGTTAATGTGAACTGCAATATCTACATCCCTATTCAGGAAGAAGACAGAATGAAAAATATATATCTATAAAATATATTTTTTGTGACTGAATTTCAGATATATGTACACTTATTTTTTAAAGTAAATGATTACAATAAAATAAAATAAAATAAAATAAGAGAATCAACAAAACTACATTTAGTTTTAGTGTTTAGCGTTTTTAGAACTTGTTTTTAAGATGACATCATATCCTGGTATCCTGATATCCCAAATATCATTTAAAAAAAAAAGAAAGAAACAAAAAAATCTTATTTTTTTCCTGGAAAAATACAAAGATTTTACTAAGAAATGTTTTTATATGCCAGTAGAAAATGGTCATTGGGAATAGTAACAGAGTCAGACCTACTGCCAAAATAAAAGAAAAATCTGCCAAATCAAAATCTCAATTAAATGAGACTCAAATCGAGTTACGCATAACCACCACTTGGTCGAGATTCCCAACAACCCTCTAAAGCCATGTTACTGAGCACCAAATCAGAAAAGAAATTCTAGTTTAGGAGTAGTTTTGTTACAGTTTTATAATATGTCATCACCCCCATCTCAATTCAAACCTAATCGCACGTTAACACTTGTTTAGTGAGAATCACAAAGCAAGCGGTTACCCTACAGCTAATAATCATGCATGATTGAACAATTATTTTACATTTAAGAGATGACAGTGTAGCACACTCATTGTTCTCCTCTCTGCTGCCTTTGGGGCAATTAGTCCCACGGGTCAAATTGCCTGACCTTTACCGTGACTGGAGCCAGAGAAGTGATTCATTCTCTGATGACAAAAGCCATGAAAGAGGCGTACCCAGAGCTGTAATAAGCATCAGAAGCTCAAAGCCACATCACAAATGGGAGAGGATTGACTGACTGAGATGTTGGCCAGTGGCACATCCCAGCTCACTTGGCAAGGCAATGACCTCATGTCTGCTTTACAGACATCATACGGGTCTCTTTGCAACACCACGAGCACTGAATTAAAGAAAATTAGGACACTTAATTGTATCACAGCTTTTGGTGGAAGWCTCATAAAATCAGGGCATCTGCCTCTAAAAGACAGTCACAAAAAGCTGTTTTATTTTGAACGTTACACTCTGTGTATATATCAMGATAGCTTAAAGTGATAATTATCTGAATTTTTTCTACACTTGCCCAATGTTTTCTTGTTTCAAGGCAAAACACTAAAGCATTTGAAATTCAATGCAGAGTCAAAAGACAGCAATTATTTCAAGATAKTAGTCTTATTCATTTATGAGGCTTTTTAAGAACTTGTAGCTTTTCTATAATAAAAACAGRTTTTATCCTGGGCTAATATACTAGGACTGTTGCAAAATATCGTTCAGTTTCAAAAACTACATCATAGAAAACACATGGCACAAAATGACACAAAGAAATTAGGTGGTCTCCAGTGAATTCACATAGTTTGCTTCTGAGAATGCCATCAGAGTACAATGAATATTTAAAAGGYGGATTCCAAAAAGTTCAGGCGTTTACTCTGTTTTATGTTCCAAGCTRTATCCTCTCTATCATTTATGGATGATCATCCCAGCATAATCTCTTTATACCAGTTCACCTGAAGCTCAGAGAAGCTATAGCCAGCACTTCACTTTGCAAAGTTATACAATGTTCTCACAAATAAGCCTCTCAGTGTGTCATCAATGATATATGTGTAAGATACCATCAAAGGTGCTGCACTCTTCTATGCCTGCTAGTTCTGTCGGTCGGAGAGGCATATCAGCAAAAGAAGGTCGAGCCTGCACTAGGAGTGTTACATCTGATGCATTTGATAGTGCTCCGCCTATCTGTACATCAAATTGCATTAACTTCATGATATGAAACATTACACCGAGGACCACACGAATCACATTATTGTAGCAGGAGAAAAAAATACACAGCRAGAGTGGATTCGAAAGTAATGTCATTAGGCATGAAGCAGAGGGGGGATCTGGATAAAGAAGCAAAAAGGGCCAGAAAAAGGTGGACTATCTGGCAAACCGAGCAAAGCTGCAGTGAACAAGCAGCGGGGATGGCGGATTCATCGAAAGATTATAGTGTCATTACAGCTGCTCTGACCTGATACAGCACCGGCAGCTTTTCCTGAACAAATGACATGTATGCTGGCTGCACTCTTCCCTGGGAATAGAGGTTGATACCATCTTTTGGCCTGAAGCTTACAGGCTGTGTCGATAAAGGCGGTCATGCAAAAATAAATAGATCACTCATCGAGGGAGTGTTACTTTAGGGTTAGCCAGCTTGGCTGAAAAGGGGAAAAGGCAACCAATGATACGAAGTGATCCAATCGTTATCTTCCCAAAGGGCCGGTCCTCCACAGAGTGGCATAGCAATTGGGTTTCTATGATTTGTGCTTTCAGTGATGACAGATCTACAATCCACTCATGAATTATTGGTCAATGACAATGTTGGCGACTGTTTGCTGGGAGCAGCCCTCGTTACTCAAGCCAACAATCATGTGACAACACAATGAGACATCTGCTGTAGTCACACCCTGTATTTTAGCAACAACTATTTAGAGGTTTCTAAGATAAGACCTTGTTCACTGCCTAGAACAGCAGGAGCTTTGTTGGCTCCACTCAGTTACATCAGTTAGTGGGCTTGATTTGAATGACTACATTTTTTGTGTGAAATGTTATCAGTAATTGTATTACCTGGCAGTCCAGTGTTTGAACACAGCAAGATGGTAATGCAAAATCACTTGAGTGACAGCAGTGGCTCAAATAGGCTGCAGACTACCTAGTCCACAGCCCACATAGGCCACAGCCTGTAAGTCCATGTAGGCTGCATAAAATGGCTGTGAAATGAGACAGTTTATTCTTTGGATGACGTATGTTTGCGTGACCAGGGACTACCCAGTAACCATAGTGTTACGTTTTGTATCATGTGCCTTCAGACTTAAAATGAGATAGGAAATTTATTCACACGTCTAGTAGTACTTGTAGTTGCATCTTATTTAACGTCTCATTGGAGCATAAATTGTGGTAGTTAAGTTGCTAAACAAACAATTAGAAACAGATTTTTTTTTGTCCGTGATGAATTTCCAAATTATGACAACTTGGTAAAACAACAATAACAACAAAAACAACTCCATCTTTGTTTTTCTGTTTAGTTTGCACAATGAATCCTGGGATAGCCTACACCAGGAAAGGTAGTCAGATACAGTATAGTGTTCATTTTTTTTTTTTTTGGGGGGGGGGGGGGGGGGGAAAGGCCCTAAAAAAAAAAAAAAAAAAAAAAAAAAAAAAGATAC